TTTCCTGCGACGGACAGAATGATGTGCGGTAATGTAACACCGCGGTTTATGAGGACATCGGTGATAGGGGTCGGAACATAGTCACCGTCGGGAACTGGTAGTATTGAGACGAGCTCTATGTAGGTCAGTGTCTGTGGAGGGAGGCGCGCGTGTTCCGTTGTGCAGAGGCAGCTTGGTCGTTGTGCAAGAGGTTCTGTTTCGGGCAAGTGTACACGGAGCGTACTGGTCGAACAGTCTATGAGGGCAGAATGCGCGGACAGGAAGTCGTGGCCTAAGATTACGTCGTAGGGGCAATTATCAAGGACGGTGAAGAGAACAACTGTGTGTCGATCCGCAATGCTCACACGAGCGGAGCAAATTCCAACAATAGATGCTATTCCACCATCCGCAACACGGATGAACTGAGTGGTCGCAGGTATGAGAACCTTCTTCAGCTTGCGGCGAAAATCACTTGTCATCGCGGAAAGTTGAGCGCCGGTGTCGACAAGAGCAGTGACATGTACGCCATCTACTTGTACGTCTATAAGGTTTGGTTTTGTCGGTATCAGTCAAGAGAGGATTTTCGGTCATGGATGGATGGATGGATGGATATGACTATACCCTTTAGATCGGGCGGTGGCTAGCGCCACCAAGCCGTAATACCTAATGAACCAAAAACTATATTTATTTATTTTTCCTTAAAAAGTAAATTTGAGGATTCGTACTTTGCAGTGAAGAGTTTAATTTTCCCTCGTGCCTTGACTTTAGCCACCAATGAGATAACCTCCGTCTAGTTAAGTCTACCCGCTTAAAGTTTATTTTGCCCTCCCGGTCCCTAAACCCCAGTGCTTTGAAAAACTCGGCGCCATCATTATGAACTATAGGGTGAAGCCCTTTACAGAACATTATCCAGTGTTCGGCAGTTTCTTCTTCCTCTCCACACGCACTGCATACTGTGTCTACCCTTTCGTATTTGGCCCGATATGTCTTGGTTCGCAGTACTCCCGTCGTGGCCTCAAACAGTAAAGAACTACCCCGAGTATTATCATAGATCCTTTCCTTGGCAATTTCCTGCTTAAAAGTTCGATAGATCTCTAGTGCGGACTTCTTATTCATGCCCATGCTCCACATGTGAGTCTCCGTTTCCTTCACTTTCTTCTTAACCGATAAATCTTTTTGGTTTGGCCACCTGCTCTTTTCTAAGTATTTACCAGTCAACTTCCTGGTTCGCTTCCTCCATTTTGTATCGACATGTACAAGTAGCTGAAAACCTTCCTAGCCCAACGCTCTTCCCCCATTTCTCTCATTCGCTTCTCAAATTTGATCTTGCTGCTAGCTTCCCTGCCCTCAAACGATGTCCATCTCATATCACCTTGTACTCCCTGAATTGGTGTATTCCCGTGAGCTCCTAAAGCAAGCCTTTCAATTCCACGTTGCTTAACTTCTAATCTTGCTTGAACTTCTGATCTCATGCACAAGACCGCATTGCCGAACGTCAGCCCAGGAACCATGACCCCCTTCCATATTCCTCTCACAACATCATACCTATTGTAATTACACAGTGCCCTATTTTTCATGACTGCTGCATTCCTGTTACCTTTAGTCGTCACGTATATTTCGTGTTCCCTCAGATACTAGGTCCCATTGCTTATCCATACGCCCAGATATTTGTATTTATCTGTTACCTCTAGCGTGACCTCCTGTATTCTAAGCTTACTACCTTCGTTGTCATTCAAAATCATGACTGCTGATTTTTCTTACTGAATCTAAAATCTAACCTATCTCCCTCATTACCGCAGATGTCCATCAATCTCTGCAAATCTTCCTTGTTGTTGGTCATTAGCACTATATCATCTGCGTACATTAATGCTGGTAGTGCCTGATCAATAAGTTTTTCTTGTTTGACTAAAGAGAGGTTGAAGCCCAGTCCACTTCCCTCTAATTTTGCCTCTAATCCTTGTAGGTAAATCATGAATAATAAGGGTGACAAGGGGCACCCCTGCCTAAGCCCCCGTTTTACCTCTGCAGGCTTGGATACCTGTTTTCCCCACTTTATAACTACCTTTTTACCTTAAGAGATACCCTTTAAAAGATTAGTGACTACATGTTTCACGCCTAGTGTTTCTAGTATTCCCCACAATTCCTCTTGAACCACTCTATCGTACGCTCCCTTGATATCCAAAAATGCTAGCCACAGGGGCCTGTGATCCTTTTCTGCTATTTCGATGCAATGCCTCAGTGAAAACAGATTGTCTTCCAACCTCCCGTGTTTCCGAAACCCATTCTGCAGTTCCCCCAGCACCCCCTCAGCCTCTATCCACGCCTGCAGTCTTTGCTTTATAATTTGCATCGCCAGCCTGTAGACCACTGATGTCACTGTTATAGGACGGTAGTTGTTTATGTCAGCTTTGTATTCCTTTCCTTTATAGATCATGCTCATTCTGCTAAGTTTCCATTCATCGGGAACTTCACCATCGATTATTATTGTGCTCACTGCCCCTCTCAAAGCCTGCTTAGACTTCGGACCTAATGTCTTTATTAGCCTGATTGGAATGCCATCTGGGCCTGTTGACGTACTACTAGGAACCCTTTTCTCAGCCCTTTCTCACTCTTGTTGTAAAAATGGAGCCATTGCACAACTTGATTCGTCCTCAGTCCGTCCGAGCGATGCACCGCCACCTCCGGGGGCTGCAACACTTAGTTTTTCTTCGGGGAACCTCGTTGGAAGGTGGGAGAAGATGGTCGGCGGGGCTGTGGAGAACGAGACTGGCGATGTTGGGGGGATGGAGAGCGAGAGTAGCGGTGTTCAGAAGCAGGTTCCTGGGCAAAATGGTCGCGGCTGGTCTCATGGCGATAGGCAGGACGTGCATAGAAGGGGCGAGAGGACGGTTGTGCAGGAGGACCCCAGCGACTTCTGCAATGGCGAGAAATGTGCCCGATTCCGTGAAACGAGAAGCAGATCAGTTTGTCATACGGACAGATTACGGAACGTTGAGGGATAGCCGGTCGGGAAGGAAGGTGCAGGCGTGTATTAGGCCTGGTAGTCGGTGCGGGGAGGCGGTGAGATAGAGTAAATTCCCAAGCTGGCGATTTCCTGCCGGACGACTGCTTGAATGAGAGGCAACGAGATTGGAGGAGACGGGTCAGGGGACGTTGGTCCCACCTTGGCTGGAGCCGCCGCTTCAAGTTCCCACCTGACGATTCACGTCAAGTTGTCATAGGTGTATGGTGGATGATATGTGTCGAGACACGAGGACGTCGCAGTGGTGTTCGGAAGGCGCTGGAACTGATGGGAGATGCGTCTGCTTTTAGCTTGCTGGAACCGGTGGCATTTTTGAATGATTGCATCAACAGATGAGACATTCTTGAATACCAACAAGTTCAAGGCATCGTCGGCAATATCCTTTAGGATATGCGGCACTTTTTCAGGTTTGGACATGCTTTCGTCAGCTTGACGGCATAGTGAGAGGACAGCCTGAATATAACCGATGTAGGGCTCCGTGGAAGATTGTGCGCAAGCCAACAACTCAATTTTCTCAGCTTCACGACGACCAGAGATGTTGCCAAAAAGTTCACGGATCTTTTCCTTGAAGCTGTCCCAGCTTGTCATGTCATGCTCGTGGTTGTAAAACCAAACACGAGGCGTTCCGTCGATATAAAAGATGACGTTTGCGAGCATAGGAGTGGGATCCCACCTGTAAGTGGCGCTGACGCGTACCTAGAGGCGTGGCCACTGGTCGACATCGGAACCCTCGCTGACCGAGAACACGCCGGCGTCTTTGAGCACGGGAAGCGTCACGAAAGTTGTTGCGGGGGCTGGGTTGACAGGCCGGGCAGAAGGGTGGGCGACCGGAGAAGATGGAGCCGAGTATTGAGTGGTCATGTTGTAAGCCGCGAGGGAGCGTCCGCTTCGGAGTTCCCTGGCGAGGACGGGGATCGCACAACTCCACCAATTATGTTACGAGAGGAGACCAACTCCAAGGGGTAGACACCGATGTATTTGCAGCCGGTTAAGTGAGCTAGGCCAGCCACGCAAACTAGCTCGTGCCAGTCTATCTGCTTTGTCTTCTTCAACTACATGCAATGGCACGTAGCAATATGATGTGCTTCACCAGCCCTCAATTATAGCGACGTTGTCATCAAGGCTGGTATTACTGTCTCAGCGTTTATACCATCAGCTTCTTGGGACGCTTTAGTACATTGGTCAATCTGTGCAAGGGGAGCACCATTCGCTATACCCTTCCTGTGTCGAAGAGTGGTGGTTCACATTTGCTTAGCTTACCACAGAAAATCACCCCTTTTCGCTTTGCATACACCTGTTATCATTTTACAAAAAAAGCGACAAGTTACCAGCATCCAACACAAACATATGATATATTCAATTCATTGTAATAGTTGATTGAGTGGTATGTGGGGTGTAACGTCCCGAAATCACCATGTGATTATGATATACGCCGTAGTGTAGGGCTCCGAAAATTTAGACCACCTGGGGTTCTTTAACGTGCGCCAAGAGCTGAGCACACGGGCCTACAACATTTCGGCCTCCATCGGAAATGCAGCCGCTGCAGCCGGGATTCAGTCCCGCGACCTGTGGGTCTTCAGCCGAGTGCCTTATCCACTAGACCACCACAGCGGGGCTCATTGTAAGAGTATTTCACAACTACAATTCAAACACAATTTTCAAGTGCTTGTCGATACGGAAATACAGATACTGAAGGCATCTCGAAGATAGGTTCCGATGGTCCTGCTGTGCCAGATCTGACCCATCTCGACATATAGCTACATACGCACCACCTCGCCGAAGTGATGCTTTCTAATCGCGATACTGCCCAGCGGTACCAGATATCGTCATTGTCTTGATTCTGTTGATTTTCTTTAGGCTACTACTGTTTTTGTTTAGTTTGACGCTTAAAACTTTGTAGAATCAAATAATGGCAGCTAGTTAGTCTACCAAACTTCCTAAATAATTGTACCATGCAATAAGAAGCCACATTCTAAAGGCTCACAATTTCGCCTTGCAGATGCTCTGAAAAGCAAAGAGCTCTGGGTGAAGAATCCTTCTGTTACAAAGAACATCATAACCTGTTACAAGGAGTTCATGCACGTATGCAACTGTAATGGGCACCCAACATGGTACTCCGCCATTCAATGCGAACAAGACGAAGTACGTAGGCGTCATGCGCCTAATTGCTGAATAAGAGTGACTGTTTCCACCTGCCACAAAGTTTTTTGGCACTCAAATAAATCTTCTTACATTGCTACAATGATAAATTGCTTTCTATAGACATAGATCAACAGAGAAGTAGAAGTCATCATCGAACACTGAATGTGGCTGCACTATGTAAACTCTTGTTGTTAGATGCGAGCTAAAGCACTGCATGGGCTTGGGCATACTCAAAAATCCGGGCACCAGCCGGGCAAGCTTGTTTCAAAGTAGGTCCAGCACTGTGAATAAAACTGCGGGCTTAAAGTCGTGCACGGGTTCGATAGTCCGGGCTCAGGTTGGGCCGGGCCTGGATTTTGCATTATTCTGAAAGGCCTATAAATTGAAACACTCAAGTGGTTGCCACTGATAGCATATTCTGAGAACTTGTGTGTCATTCAATTCGCCTTTACAAGTTCAAAGACAGAGGAGAAAATAATGCGAAAGTTTCAGCGCGCAAGACGTAAAGGCTTTTGAACTGTATTTCTAGTTTTTTAGAGACATTCACTATACAAAATTTTATGAAACTTGGTCTTCATGTCGTGGCTTCCTCAAAGATCATTCTAATTAATTTTTACCGGTTAGGTACCGCGTATGCACTAGGGTGAAAATATAGGATGGCGTCTGTTGCATGAATTTTATGGTGGCGTTGCCCCTTGCATTTAGCTGTTGCGCACTTTCTCACTTACCAAAAGTCCTGATATGACCAGCCTGTGATCTCAGAACTTTATATCAGTTTTGAAGAAAAATTTTTCTTTCTGTGCGTTTGACTTTATCACACATATATTTCTTATTTTATCAAAAAAAGCTTTATTTGTCACTTTATTGGATAATTTTAGGGGCTGAATTTCATTTGAAGCCTGCGTACGCTTTCTTGTTTATCTTAAACGAATGAAGAGAGAGAGAGAGAGATAAAGGAGGAATAAATGAGGAAGGACAGGGAGGTTAGAGAGAGATAAAGAGAGATAAATATGCAAGGAAAGGCAGGGAGGTTAAATTCCTGACGCTTAAACGAATGAAATAAAAGCAAAATGACTAGACCCTTTAATTTGTACATTCTTGCTATTTTCTTTTCTGTTGGCACTCACCAATATTTTATGTCAAAGGTAGTATTCATAATTCACAATAATAGGAGTCATATAAATATTATTTCCAACTTGTCATCGCGAGAATATTCACACAGCTCGGAAGCGAAGACAAGTTTTTTGAAATTTTCAGCCCTGTACTAAACTGAAGTTACTGTGTGGAGATTTTAACATCAAATTACTGTAAGGACACACTCATTTTACGTGGCTCAGTCAAGACACCAGTCTGTCATGGAATGGGAGTTAGACAGTCACAGACTGTTTTGTGTACCCACATTGTAAACATCTGAGCTGTCATGTTGTTCCGCTATAGTGGGGTTTTCAAGCTCACTTCACCCTACAAGTCATGTTCTTAAAAATTTACTCGACCGAAATACATCACTAAAGACAATATAAGCCAGTCGGTGTAGTCAAAATTTGTTGAAACAGATGTGGGCTAAAACTAATGATGTTTATGATGATTGGTGCTTTGTGGCGCAAGGGCCATTTGATGGCCAAAGAGCACCAGTTCATGGGACAAGAGATGTGGACAGTGATTGGGATTAGCGGCTGTAAAATGGCCTTAAAATTCCCCGCGCTAAGGCGGGTAAAAACATAGAAGTAATAAAATCATGACCATGCCATGAAAAGTGTGTGGTGTTAATGGATGACGAAAGCTTGTGATAATAAAAACCATGGTGAACATGTTTGGCATTAGCACAAGTGCCTTGATCCTTCACACCCTTGCGTCCAAGGGCCATGAGGCTAGTCCTTTATTGAGTGCAGCCACCGCAGCGGACACCTCTCTGGAGAGGTCGTGCTACGGAATGCTCGGGTATATCACATGAAAGGTGCGGAGTTCTCTCAAAAAAGCGAACAACAATATATGTGTGAAAAGTGGTTCTCTACCGACGAACATTGCAGGATGAAGTGGTATCTGTAGTCGGTAGGTTAATGGAAACTGCTGTGTTCTCAGCGTGTCTAATTGTTTACACTGGAATAAAATGTGAAGTACGGTGAGTACCTTCTCCACATCTGTCACACAAAAATGGATTGCCATTAAACAAAAGAAATGAATGTGTAGTGTATGTATGTCCTGTTCTTAACCTTGTAAAAATTACTTCTATGTGGCGTGATATTGATACTGTCGGCCAATGACGAAGTTGCAGCTTGACGACATGCACTTTATCACTCGTGCGCGTGTCCCACGTGCTCTACCAGTAACCCCTGAGCTTGTGTTTTAGAAAAGGTTTCAAGTCGAGTGCAGGCATCTGTATCGATGTATTGGTAGCGTTTTTGTTAGAGGATTGAGCTAGCTGGTACACCAGAACGTTGCCTTGTATTTTGCGGTGTCCTGACAGCCAGCAGACTACAACATGCTGCTTGGATGAGTAAACTGTGCATAGGAGCGAATAAAGAGAGACAAAGACAGGGTTTTTGGGCTTTTTAAGAGTTTTGAGAGCTCTTACTACACTACTAGTATACAAGCTATTTACAAAGGTAATTGCTAACAGAGTAAAGAAAACATTAGAAGTCAATCAACCAAAGGAACGAGCAGGATTTCGAACAGGCTACTCAACAACTGACCACATTCATACTATCAATCAGGTAATACAGAAATGCTCAGAGTATAACCAACCACTATACATAGCCTTAATAGATTACGAGAAGGCGTTTGATTCAGTAGAAATATCAGCCGTCATGCAGACACTGCGGAATCAGGGCGTAGATGAAGTATATATAAACATTCTGGAAGAAATATACAGGGGATCAACTGCTACCATAGTGCTTCATAAAGAAAGCAACAGAATGCCAACCAAGAAGGGTGTAAGGCAGGGGGACACAATCTCCTCAATGCTATTTACCGCTTGCTTACAGGACGTTTTCAGAAGCCTAGAATGGGAACAGTTAGGAATAAGAGTTAATGGAGAATACCTTAGCAACCTGCGCTTCGCCGATGACATTGCATTGCTGAGTAACTCATGGGACGAATTGCAACTCATGATTACGGAGTTAGACAAGGAGAGCAGAAAGGTGGGTCTTAAAATTAATCAGCAGAAAACAAAAGTATTCTACAACAACCTCGGAAAGGAGCAGCACTTCGAGATAGGTAATAGTGCACTTGAAATTGTAAAAGACTATGTCTACTTAGGGCAGGTAATAACCGCAGAGCCTAACCACGAGATTGAAGTAACTAGAAGAATAAGAATGGGGTGGAGTACATTTGGCAAGCACTCTCAAATTATGACAGGTAGATTGCCACCATCCCTCAAGAGGAAGGTATGTAACAGCTGTATCTTGCCGGTACTTAGCTATGGAGCAGCAACCTGAAGACTTACAAAGAGGGTTCAGCTTAAATTGAGGACGACGCAGCGAGCAATGGAAAGAAAAATGGTAGGTGTAACCTTAAGAGACAAGAAGAGAGCAGAGTGGATTAGGTGACAAAGGGGGGTTAAGGATATCATAGTTGAAATAACGAAGAGGAAATGGACATGGGCCGGGCATGTAGCGCGTAGACAGGATAACCGCTGGTCATTAAGGGTAACTAACTGGATTCCCAGAGAAGAGAAGTGGGTTAGGGGGAGACAGAAGGTTAGGTGGGCAGACGAGATTAAGAAGTTTGCGGGTATAAATTGCCAGCAGCAAGCACAGGACTGGGTTAACTGGCGGAACATGGGAGAGGTCTTTGTCCTGCAGTGGACGTAGTTAGGCTGATGATGATGATGATGATGATTATGACTACGCTTATAAATCTGTGTATAATATAGCCCACTGTAGATTTGTTTGTTCAATGTGTTTAAAAGCAGCAAGTATTGCATAAGCTTCGCCGGTGAAAATGCTTGTGTCAGCGTGCAGAATGCCGGCTCGTACGCAGCCGTCGGCCCATCAGCGTGCAGATGGGCAGATGGCTGCATACAACACAGAAGTGTTGAACTTTAAGGCATCCGTAAAGAAGTCGGGACGAGTGTAGTTCTGTTGTAGTTCTAGGAAGTGTGTCTGAATATGTGCAATTGGCGCGTGCTTCGTAACCTCCAAGAAAGACACGTCGCAATCTATCGCCTGCCACTGCCACGGTGGCTAGCATACTGCGGCAGCCATCAAATGGCGTTCAAGTGGCACACTGGTTTTATTCGCTAGGCAACCCACACGGAATGAGTAGGGCTGTCTCAAAGAAGGCCGTTTCTCAAACACAACATGGTTTGACATGTCAATAATTGTGGAATGTGAAAATTGTTCCTTGTTTCAACTCACTTTGAGATAATATTTAAAAGAGATATAGCATCTTTACAGGTGGAGCATCCATTCGTTTGATTCCACGAACAGGCTCTTCACGGGGCTAGCGCGAAAAGCACCTGTAGCGAGGTGGATGCCTAGATGATGAACAGGGTGAAGAACCTACAACCTAAACGAGCTATAGTATAAAACTGTTCCCAGCCGGCTCTGTTGATAAGCCATTTGGGAACCCATGGTGGACACTCAGTTGCTGCAGTTGGGCTGCAGGGGCCACAACCACCGGCTCGTCATGTGGGGCCAAAGGAGGGAAAAGGGCTGGTGCGGCGGTGCCCCTGACTCGCCGAATCAGCTTATGTAGGTCCACAGAATGTTGATACTCCTCGCCATGCTTCCTTAAATGAAATATTCTTCTTCACCTTCAAAGTAATTATTTATTTTTCTTTCTTCCAGTATGCACAGGAGCTCGAATATGCGCCATGGTTTCCTTCGCAGTTTACACAGTGGGGCGGTTGTTTGCAGTTCTCAGACACGTGGCCCAGGACTCAAGGTTGGGCGCAAGTCTGGCCACCACGCCAGCTTTGAGAGCCAGGTTCATACCTCTGGTATTGGAAGCAAGGACGAGGGTTTGGTAATAATGATCTGAAAGAGCTCTTCGTGTACCCGTTTGAAAGGTTTCTCGCAGTTTACTGGAAGCAAACGTGAGTAATAGGTGTTTCGTTGGTGTTTTCTTGATATTCTTTCTTATGATAATCCTCTGTAC